ATGCACATGGTCCGGGGTTCGAGCCCACGCCGGCGCATACCTGATATCTATGGTCGGCCTGCAAAATTTGGGCTACCGATATCCATGCTGAAAATTCCATACTTGTACCAAAATTACAGTGTGGAATCAAGCTGTAAATCAAAAATAATAAAAAAAAAAAATAAAAGACTGCAGGAGTTGTTAGAAAGTTGAACAAAGTAACAATAACAAATTGAACTGGATAATATGACATCATTATATTTTGTTGGTTCTTATCAACTGCATCCACATATAAAGATGATGTATATCCCCAGCAATATATTGCTGAACACAAGAGAACACTAAATATAAAAGTAAAATTCGATTCATTTGAGAAGAAACCAGTGTTTTACTGAAGAAATCCCTAGTTGAAAAGTCTGCCAAACATGTTTTCCTCAAATACATACACCGAATTCACATGTACGTGCCAAGGTACATACATAAGGCAAATGGAAAGAGGGGTTTTTCACCACATGTCTAACCATATTTCAGTAAACTTTTGACTGATGGCTGTCAAAAATTCTTTGGTAATGAAATCACTTGTCACCTGGTAGATAGTGGCCATGAAGTCAATGTTTTTATAATCATTTAAGTACAATTCAATGCCAGTATACTGAGTATTACTGAAGTCATACTTAATAGACGCTTTAAACCCACGTAACTTGTTTTGCTTAGAATGAATTTGTCGTTAATCTTCCTCTACAATTCTGAGAGCACCTTTTTTCTACAATGTCTTTTCATACACCGTAATTCCTCTTTTTTTCGTCTCCACCTACCCTCATGACCTCCTCAAACGATCTTCTTCATATCACACGACTGACTCACCGTTTACCATTAGGGTTCCAAACAAGCGATGGCGTGGCGCACGATGTTATACGATGGTCTCCTCGGTGTGTGTCCAATCCATCCGTGTTTTCTTCTACATATTTGTTGAGCAGTAAGTCCTTGATTGATTCGTTGACTGAAGTTAATTATCTTGACTGATTCTTTCTACTAACCTATCTTGGTCTTCCCATATCATAGCGATTTCTAAACAAATATTTCGTCTGACATTTTACACTAAGAGGTCAAGGCACTCAGGCATAACTCAACCCCTCCTCCTCTTACAGTTTGTCAACTTGTGCATTTTACCTATTCTTCTTTACTGTTCGCCCTTATTCTTACCTGGATTGCTTGAGAAAGACTATGTCATACTTCGTAGGACTGTGAAGACTGTCAGCAGGGCGAGTGGTATCCCATTGGACCATATCGTTGACATTGTCACTGACAGGCACTTGATGTCGTGCAACAAATGTGCTAAAGGAATTTTGTCAAACTGTGAGCATCCACTGCTGCACCCGCAGCTTTCGCCTTGTGTCTCCTGGGGTAAAACTAGAAGTCTTTTCAGAAGATTTCATGCACGTACGTCTAAGCATAAAAATTCCACTGTACCATATTTGGCACATATTTTATGTGATGAAAGTAGTGTTAGGCATGAACTAACCAACCTTCTTTGCACTACTAAATAAACCATTTTTCCTTCATCCTTATAACATCAATCTTTATTGTTATTGTACTTCTTACATTTATAATCCTCTCAATTTTTTTTATTTGTGTATTTTTACATAAGTGTGAACATAATTTAAGGTGTGTTATATAACTGTTAATTTTGTATTTCCCCTCAATATACTATATAAACAGAACATTAGATCCAATACTCTGTAACATGCTAAAATTTCCAAACTGAATCGACGATACTGTTTGAAACAAACTCACTGCTATTATTATTATTATTACTATATTTAATGATCTCAATTCGTGCTTCGAATATTTCTGACTTTATATCGTAAACGTGGACAAATCCCCCTGGTAAATTTTGTTTATATTTTAAGTAAATCAGATGCAATATTGTGACAAATGCTGGGAATTCCATTCTGTATTATAAGTACTATTTTTGGAATAAAGCAAATTATTATTATTATTATTATCAGAGTTTCTTGTTTCTAGTTCTTTCTGGCCATCTAATGTCAAATATGTAGCGAAGGCAGCTATTGATGAAAGTCTGCCGGTAGCTATCGGGAATGCTTTTGGCGATGCGCTAAATTTATGGCCCATATAGAGTGAACTACTTAACATTGGTGTTGAAAATCCGAATTTTGTTCTTTGTCGTGAGTGCCAAGTGATATTCTCTGCAAAGTTCTGTAGGCCTGAGTTCGTTTCTTTTGTTTATTTGCCTTAGAAGGATTCAAGTTAATATTACCATGATGTCGATGAGACGCCTTGTGACTGCATTGTTCAAAGTTGCACTGGCTCTTAACCGAAGACTATTCACTGTGAAGTTAGTACTGAACATGTTATCCAGAAGGACACTGGATTCTTTTTAATTTAATCCCCAGGCAACTCAGTGAAAATAACAACAGTAAAGATATCCATCTCAGCTGCAAATCTTCCAAAAAAAAATAATTTATAACTAATTCTTAGACACCCTGTGATCGTAACCAGATGGTCTATGCTCCTCTACATGTCTCAGACTAACAACCAATGACTTAATAGACTGGTGCTGTGCTTAAGAATAACCAAATCTAACTTACTTTTTAACTTAATCCAATTGCAGCTAACATTGGTCACAGAAGAAGGCAGTAACTCTGCATGCTTGACAGGCATCTAGAATTAATTCACCTACTTGGTATTTAGGACTTGCGTCAGTATTGAAGTTGTGAGATATGATGTTCTTTCATTGTAGCCAGTTATACTCTAATCACATATAGATCAACTGTTTATGAATTTTTTTTTTATATAATCAACTTTTACTCACTTGTCGAAGTCTTTATTCGTATCACTTATTTCATTCTAGTAGTACACACTGGGAGATAATTATTTCCTTAATTTTAATAATGACAGTTCACTGCCAATCTCATTACATTACCAAGTATGCAGGTATCTCTGAATAATAGTCAATGACCAGGTGGGCAAATATACAGTAGAGAAGAATCTTCGAAATATACTATCCTCAGACCTGTGGAATACATACTATTAAAGTATTGCATTGTAGGGATTTCACTGATTGGTTACAAGATTTCATCATGAATTGATATCGGTTAGAGAACTATTGGAAAACCACCAGGGGGGATGGAATAGCTGTTTCGTCCTAGTTTAGGACTCTTTACAGTACTCACTCACTACACAAAGTTTGAATACAGGATCTTCTGGTTACAAGGCGAGCTAGCTCATAAAACACTCAACCAGCCGCTGGGACCCAATCCAATGACCACTCCATTAATTCCAACTTCTGCCAATTCACGACATAGCGCGTCGCTAGCCAATGTCATCGGCTGCCAGTATTTGACCTCACACTCATTAGGCTCCATCAGGTCAGTGAATAACGCATGTCTGATATGAAATATATGGGATAAATGTCTGATTTCCCACAAACTAGAAGATATGCAAGTGAAAGGCAACAAGTTGGCGATAGAAGAAGCATCGAAGATAGGACTTCAGGTGAATACAAAGGAAACAGAAGCGATAAGGAATCCTGGCCAACAGCAACAACAACAGACAACAATCAGCATAAATGGGAGGAACCTGAGAGAAAAAAACCTCTTTTACCTACCTACCTGGGAAGCATCGTCTTAACTACAGTTGGACGGAACTGATGAGGATATCAAAGCGAGTATTCGGAAAGCAAGGTAAGCTTTCATTACTCTCAAGTCTGTGTGGAGGTGAACAGCACTCAGACTGAAAAATACGATCTGGATTTTCAACTCCAATGTGAAGTCAGTCAATGCTACTTACTATACGGATCAGAGACTTAGCGCGTCACGAAGGGCACTTCGAACAAATTACAGACCTCCATCAACAACTGTCTTCGCTCAATACTATTCAAGATCAGATAACTAGAAAAGATCAACAATAGGGATCTCTGGCAATGAGCGAAGCAACCAGGAACCGATTGTGCGGCAAATGTGCAGGAAGAAATGGAGGTGGGTTGGTCAGGCCGTCACTCAAGTGGAACCCATATGGAAAGCGGCGATATGGTCGTCACTGACAGGACGACATGGAGGAGGTGATGCGAAGAGGATATGAAAGCATGTGGGCAGACGTGGAGCGAGGTGAAAACGTTGGTGGAAAAGCGAACGCAATGGAGAAGTGCGGCTGAAGCCCTATGCTCCTGTCGTAACTAAAGAAGACAATAATATAGTATCAACTATAGCAGCCCAAAAAGAAACTAACTAATAAAGAGCTAGGCAACTCTCCGTCGACCAATTATATGTTTCCATAGTAGAAGTGCGTGATTTAAAAAATGTTTGTATATAAGTAATACAATGGTAAAAAGCTATATGAGATAACATCCTTATATATGTTTCAGGAAAATCCCCCAATTTCCCATAACAGCCCTGACAATTAGGTTAAACCAATTTCTATGCATAAGTTTATTGAGCTAACTGTAAATCATAGTGCTTCTTGACTCACCGCTGTAATCCTCTTTTTTAGGTGACTCTAGAAACTTTCAATAGGAAATTTGTTTAAGTTCCTTCGAAAGGATTAACGAAATCACCCATATGATTGACCAGGGATGACAGCTGGCTGCACGTTTTCTGCCTTCCAACGAGCCCCTTGTCTAAAAGCAGTACTTAAAGACTACATTTGGATGAAATTTGGCATGTAATTCATATACAGCATCCACAATTCTCTCTATATACTGAAGACTCATCTGACTGGTTGCTCAGGATCATTAAACCGTGCACTAGGTAGTTTCGTTTTGGGCTGCTATAGTCACCCCGGTATTCATCCAAGCGACCATCTATCACTTTTATGGTAAGGACTCAGATTTACTTAAAAACTAGGACTAGGATCTGATTATAGGCCTTTTTCGAACTGTCAGTGCCCAACACTATTCCTTATTGTAAATAATGAACTGGTTTTCTGTTTTGTAACTTATTCTGCTGCTCATTAGTGACCAGGTATATAGTGGCAGTTACCTGGAGTTCTAGTAAGAAGATGTAACCAACGGGGTCCATCAAGTCATGCGAGAGAACAGTTACTCGCCGATGACACTGGCTGGTGGTTGCGCTTCATGGGCCACTAGATTGGGTCCCAGTGATTGAATGGTCTACGAGCTCGCTTTGTAACTACAAGGTGCTGGGTTCGGATACCAGTGACTGAGCACTAATGATGAGTGCCAAACTAGGACGAAACAACTGTCTAGTACTCCCTGCAGGTTTTACAATGGTTCTCTAACTGATGTTACAGCAGGATCAAACCCGTAACCAATCAATTCTCTACAAATCAATAGAAAGTTTGATAAGCCACCTTTACGATGAAATATTCCCCTTGGATTCAATTGGATCACTGTGCATTCACTTCACCTAATCAACATCATCTATTCAAGCAATGAATGGAATAAGAATACACAATATTAGAATACATATCTTTATGTTTTTCTTGCACTATATCATACATTTTATCTTATTTTAGTTATTGTTTTTTTCTGTCTTTGGATTTTGTGTTTACATTATTGGTTGATACAATAGTCGATATACATTCTAATCACAGTTGATCCATAAACTGTGCAACTGATTGACTTACATAGATACTATTATTACTATTATCATTGTCCGTATTGTCATTATTATTACTGCTGTTGCCGCCCCCACCACTAGCGTAACCAGACAACGTATTATCTAGTTTTAATTGTTTATCCATTGAACATTCAACATTTGAATGATTTGTATCATTTAAATTATTCGTTTCCATAGCATCATACCAGATATCGGTTTCAGTATCATTTTCAACATTTTCTATTATCATCTGTCCAACATTACTGCTCTCATTATTATTTATATTACTACAGCTTATAAACATATTCTTACTACTATTACTAATACTACTACTTCTTCTACTGCTACTACTGCGGCTTCTTCGCCGACGATGATGACTCTTCATCCCACCACTTTTTTCACTTTTCTTACCTCCTTTTAGTTTATCTTTCACTACAGTTTGTTTTATCGGTGTTTGTTTATTCGTATAGTTATCATATGGATTTGCGTGTATTCTATTAAGGCACACTGGACGATAACAAGTGAATCGTGCAGATTTCAATGGTCTTGGTCTTAATCGAGATGACCATAGTTTTGCGACTGCTGGTGAATTATTACTTCGTTTACATAATACTGGACTGTGTGGTTTTTTTGGTGATAGGCGTTTAAATGGTGATGATGGTGATTTTTTGGATTTCAACCTTTTTCGACTCATTCGTTGATTATTACGCTGCTTAACTGATGACATCGAGCAGGATGAACGTGATGACGGCGATGATAATGAAAACTTGGGTAGTTTTGGTGATTTTGATGAAAACTTGCGTCGCTTTGGTGATTGTGATGAAAACTTGGGTCGTTTTGGTGATTGTGATGAACACTTGGGTCGTTTTGGTGATTTTGATGAAAACTTGCGTCGCTTTGGTGATTGTGATGAAAACTTGGGTCGTTTTGGTGATTGTGATGAACACTTGGGTCGTTTTGGTGATTGTGATGAACACTTGGGTCGTTTTGGTGATTGTGATGAAAACTTGGGTCGTTTTGGTGATTGTGATGAACACTTGGGTCGTTTTGGTGATTGTGATGAACACTTGGGTCGTTTTGGTGATTGTGATGAAAACTTGGGTCGTTTTCTCTTCATCACAGGAGCATTACTAGGCTTTGGAGGGCATCGCATAAATTTAGAGATTGATAAAATTCTTGGTTTCGGAGCACAGGGTGATATAGATCGATGCATAGTATTTGAGTGTTTTCTTTTCTTTTGACCACTTTTATTCAATGGTTTCAATTTTTTTAAGAATGACTTCTTGATTTTACGTTTTTGGTCACTTTTTCTAATAAAATCACATGTTTTCATTTTAAATGCACTTCGGCGTTGTTTAAATAGGGGTCGATCCAATTTTTTCTTTTTTGAGGCTTGTTTAAATTTTCTAATTGAAGGTGAATGGATACGTTTTTTACTTATTTTCAATTTGTGTGGCATTGGTGATGGTTTACATGACGTTTTTTCAATTCTTCTTCGTTTTATACTTTCTGGTTGACTTGTTTTATGCGTATGTAATGGTGGTTTTGTAACATCAAGACAATATGAATCCGTATTATTATATTGACTATTTTCTGTTCCATCACAGATTTGTCTTTTTCGATTTAGATTTATTTCTTGATTATTATTATTATTGTTTTTGTTGTCGTACATGCTTCTATTTGCTTGTGAATATTTTTTTTAAGCGTTTGTTCTTATGTATAGATAGATGCAGGTACGTTTATTTATAAGAATTATAAAAAAGTATAACTAACTGACACTTGTAAATATTGATTAGAAACTGTTTAAATTTTATCGATCCATTAGAATAAAATAGCGTAATAATAATGATGACAGTAATTTTTTGTATAATATGCAAAAGGTTAGGGTTTACACACAATGATAAGTTTTTCGGTAATATTTCGAGCAAAATTATTGCCTGTTATCACACATTTATGATTTGTACTCATATATACATAATTCGTTTTTTGTCCATTCATTTTATGTGTATCCACAATTACATTCTAGGTTGTTAACAATTGTACTGAGTCAGTCTTGTTACATGTAACCGAAGTGACCTTAATGAATGATTACGGGCGGTAATATTGCTCGAAATATTACCAAAAAACAAATAAACAAACAAAAGAACTGATTGTTTACAGGATTTCATCATAAGCTGAAATCGGTTAGAGAACTATTGGAAAACCACCCCGAAGAACGGGACAGCCGTTTCGTCCTAGTTTAGGAGTCTTCATCAGTACTCACTCACCACAGAAAGTTAGAACACGGGACCTTCTGGCTAAAAGGCGAGCTTGCAGATCATTAAGTCACTTACTCGATCCTATGGCTAGCGCATGAATTCCCACATCTGCCAATTCACAACATAGTGCGACCTCTAGCCTATGTCATCGGTGGCGAATATCTGTACTCACACTCAGTAGGATACAGCAGATCGGGTGTGATGACAAATACTCGCTAGCGATGAGATTGGCTAGTGGTCACGCTATGTCATGAATTGGCAGAAGTTGGAATTTATAGACTGCCTATTGGATCGAGTTCAAGTGGCTGAATGGTCTATGAGCTGGCTCACCTTGTAACCAGAAGGTTCTGGGTTCGAACTCCCCGTGGTGAGTGCGTACTGTGAGGAGTCCCAAACTAGGATGAAACAGCTATCGGGCACTCCTGGGTGGTTTTCCAATGGTTCTCTAACCTATTTCAGCTTATGATGAAATCCTGTAACCAATCGATCAAATCCCTACAAACCAATACTTGAAAAAGAACTGATCATTGTGTGTAAGCTATTGAAATATGTTTATAATTTATTTGATCTATTATCACCGATGTGGGCTGGATTATGGATCAGACTGTGCTTGGGAGTGTGGAGACAGGAATACGCTGCACCACCGATGAGAAGACTCTAAAATATTTGGATTTCGCGTGTGGATGATTTATGCCTAATTTCACACAAACTCGAAGTCTCGCAAACAGGCGAAAACCAAAAACTGGTTGAAGAAGCTGGCAGCGAAGACAGGACTCCAGGTGAACACAGAGAAGACGGAGGTGATGAAGATAATCAACCAACAGCAACAGCAACAACAACCAGCATCAATCACTACCATCGTTTCAGTTGCAGGAGGAACGGGTGAATATGTCAAAGCCAGTCAGAACCGGAAAGGCAAGATACGCCTTCATCAACCTGACACCAGTTTGGAAATCTTCTCCACTCCGCCTCAGCATAAGAAACAAGATTCGAATTTTCAGCACTAATGTCAAGTTGACCAGTTCTTCTGTACGGGTCAGAAACTTACACTGTCTGTCAAAAAAGGATTTCAAACAGGTTACTGCCGACCTTTATCAGTAGCTGCCTCTGCTGGCCCCATATTGAAAACCAAATGACCAGAAAGAATAAGTGACAAGAAACTCTGGAAACAAACCAACTAAGAGCTGATCGCACAACAAATATGTAGTAGAAAGTGGAGGTGGATCAGGCATACATTGAGGAAACCGTTGAATGACATCGTGCGCAATACAGACCATCGCTCGGATGAAATCCCAATGGGAAGCAACAAGTGGGTCGTCAGTACGAAGGTGATATGGAGGAAATTGTGTAAGGAAGAGATGAAAGATAATGGACCCAGCTAAAGAGGACGGCAGAAAATAGAAGGAAGTGGAGATGTGTTGTTGAAGCTGTATTTCCACTCGGGGCTCAAGGGAATAATAATACAATGCTCAAACTTTTTACTGACATTAGTTAAGATTATATCAGTAATAATCTTAAAGATTATTACTGTGATCGAATTTGTTTCCAATTCTTTTACGTTCCAAGTGGAACAGACGACTTGAAGCTCTTAAGTTTCAGTAATGGCGGTACTGTGTGTGTTTCTTACGTGGTGGGATTGTCAATATTATAATCAACCTTCCTTTATTTCCGAGCTTACTTCGAGTTAGGTGAGGTTTAGGAGTGAGTGGGCAGGGAATCGAAACGGAAATTCTCACTTAGCTGACGACTACTCTACCACTGGCGCGGTTTTATTACCTTCCGGCTAATTAGATTAGTTATTGAAGATCATTTGCACAGGTTGTGACACACTTTATGTTTACCGCTTTCGCATATGAAAACTTTTCTTATGGGGTATGCACATTTCTTTGAAAAATCACTTCTGAAGCTAGAAATCGATGTGAAGATATCAACAGCACAAGTAGCCGAATTACAATTTTCAACGTTCATGTCAAGTCAATACTTTTATATTGGTTCTAAGGATTGGCACACAATTCATCAATAGTAAGTAGTTCCAACAGCCTGATGCAGATTTTTATCATCAGCACCACCGATCCCGTTCGCTCGATAGTGAAGATCCGACAGCCGACCTAAAAGGATAAGCAACAAGGAATTCCAGCAGTCAACAAACCATCCGAAAACTATGGAATTCAGTCTGCACCAAAGAAAGGACTAGACACATCACACTAGTTACTGACAAGTGTCCAATCAAAGTATCCAATACAGTCCTACAGGAGATAAATTGCAAGTCCGAATAGCTAACTCAGTGGTGACGTCTGCGACTGCAGCACCCATCGGCCGACGCGGGTTTGAGTCTCAGAAGGGACATGAGTTTCTTCAAGGTTGAAGATAGGCGCCTAGCTAACTGATGAGTGCCAGCTAGCACGAAGCCTAGGTCAGGTTGGGCTTCTTATGGCCGATTGCCTCCAACCATCTAATATCATCGGAAACTCATTACCCGAAAAATAAACAGAAGGAGACGGTCGTGCATTTTTCATCATTTGAGGGAACCTTCAAGTCGCATCACATTCTAGACCGTCGAGTGGAAACCGAATATGAATAGACAAGTTGAACTTTCAAGAAAGATATGAAGAAGATTATGTTAGAATGAATTGTTCCATATTAGTTTGTTTGTTAAATGTATCACACAGTGAAACATTTAATAAACAAACTAATATGGAATTACTTACTACCACAGTGCCCAAGTTTTACCCATATATTAAGAATGAATTGTTATCCTGATGCAAAATTTCATATCCATCAAAAGAGGACACATCAATCAACTAGCTTCCTGAAGACTTCCACTAGTCGGCGTCGTATTCGCCTCCCTGATCCCGACGGGGAATAAGTTTACTTCTTCTGTGCTTTGAATTTTCAGTAGCGATGAGGTTGAGTCATTAGCCCTATGGACAGACCTTTACTCCTTTTCTGGGATTATAAACTACCCACTAAACTAGCATAGGTGTAGTAGCAATTTGTAAGAAGCTATTATTCATGAATTCACATTAGAAGAGTAATTCGACTAGAGAAATACTCACAAAATAGTTCGAAAATGAATTTTCTAGTAGTCACGAATATTCCCTATTTGAGTAAAAAAAAAAGCCAAAGCTATACATCCGTCCACATAAATGTACAATTATAAGTTCGCCAGAATTGCAACTCTACCTTTATTTATGACTAATAATAATAGCAGTTTGCTTTATTCCAAAACAGTACTAATGTTACAGTGTGGAATTTTCAGCATGTGGTACAATATTAAAAACAATTATAAAGAAAATATTACAGGATTGTTAATGGCGGTTCTTGTTTTGGTATTTGTGGTGATGGTGAAGCCATATATATATATATATATATATATATATATATATATATGCGAAGTTTACGCTTAGTAGTTCGAATGCTTATCGCCTCAGCTATGTGCAGTAGATGAATACGAAGTCTATTGAAAAGATCCAGTGGGATACGATGAATTACCTTGAAGGCTCTCGTTTTCTCCGCTACATAACTTCTATCAACTAAATGTGACAAAATTGACCTACGGGCTGTCTTTTTCTGTCCTTTGTCAAACCACGCGTTGGCTGAGCGTGTAGTAGTACGCCCAACATAACTGTTACTGCAGGTGCAGTTGAATTGATAAATGCACATAGATGTGGCAAAACTATCTAACTTCTCCTTCGTTTGCTGATAATCTAGAATTACTTAATCGGTTGATTTGTTTTTCTTAGCATTTATCGAGTACTCCTACCTGAGCATTTCATGTTTAATCATGCTGTTTTCCGCTATTCTTGTTTTCACAGATCGCCTCACTTTCTTCTCGTTATTACTGATAGAACCATTATTATTACCATTACTACAAATGTGGTATCATTGAGTTCCTATACTTATTAGTACAAGCATATAATATTTTGTAATGACTTATATTTCTACCAGATGAGATACAGCAAGGGGAGAATTGAGAATAGACGGGGTGTTGAGGGTCAGACAGTATAGATTTAGACCATTTCTCGAATCCATTTAGATGTCTATCAACTAATGTAGTGACAAGCTGACTAAGTTGCACACCACTTGCCTGCTCTACTGAAAACTTTTAATACCCTTCTCAAAATGACATATTCCTTTTTCAGTAGACCAGGAAGGACTACGGGTGGGGAGCATTAAAGTAAAATAGGTGAGATAAGTGAGTTAACAAATTGTCAAAGCAGAGGTTGAGTGATTCCAGATAGTTTTAGCTTCCTAATGTAGTAGCTTAGACCGAACATTTTCTTGGAGATCAATAAAATATGAGATGACCAAGCAAGGTCAGAGGATAGAAATATTCCAAGATATTTTGTGTTAGATCTAGTTTCTATTAACAGCCCCCTCTAGGCTACAAGCATCGTGTGTACTCTCCAATCCTTGTAGATCACTTTTATGTCTAAAGGAAAAGTCAATAATCTGGCTTTTTGAAGGATTTAAAGTACGATCATTTAGCTTAGACCACTTGACTGATGTCCAACGAAAAGCAATTAAGTTTCCAACAGTCTGATTAACACTTGACAGGAAGCGAGATGGTCAGATCATC